AAAAGCCGGTCAGAAGGCCAGACAAGGAAGAATGGATGGAAATAGATCAAGGAGAGATTCAACCTGGAGGGAAGGAGAAATTTCCTGACAGTGAGAACAATCAACCCATGGAACAGAAGCTGTGGGAGCTTCATCACTGGAGGCTTTCAAGAAGAGGCTGGATTGAGATCTGTTAAAAATGGTGTAGGGTCTCCTGCTTGGGCAGGGGGTTGGACTAGATGACCTACAAGGTCCCTACTCCTACTCTGTTATTCTGCATTCTATAAGGCAAAGAGAAGGGGAAGGGAAGGAGAAATTTCCTGACAGTGAGAACAATCAACCCATGGAACAGAAGTTGTGGGAGCTTCATCCCTGGAGGCTTTCAAGAAGAGACTGGACTGACATCTGTCAGGAATGGTGTTAGGTCTGCTTGGGCGGGGGGGGGGGTTGGACTAGATGACCTACAAGGTCCCTTCCAACTCTGTTAATGTGTAACCTGTAATCAGCAAGATTAGTTTGTTGAGATTTGTTTCATCGGGAACAAAAGCTGTGTGTGGTTTTATATGCAATTAGCAAGGATTCATCTTGTATCGTCCCAGAAAGTTGTTTGCTAGATCAAGTCCTTTATTCTTCTAACTCACATATATTTTGTTTATCACTCTACAACAATACAGGCCCGTAATAGGAAAACCCTCTTTCCTTCCTGTTTCCACAGCTCCCTTCCATTCTTCAAAATCTGCCGACAACCTTGTTAAATTCGACATCTACGGTGACGGGATCGGCCGATACAACGTCTTCAACTTCCAGCAAGCCGGAGGCCGCTATTCCTACCTGAAAGTGGGGCAGTGGGCCGAAACTTTGACCCTGGAGGTCAACGCCATTCACTGGTCCAGGGGCCTGGTCCCCGTGGCCCAGTGCAGCGACCCATGCGCGCCCAACGAGATGAAGAACATGCAACCGGGAGACGTTTGCTGCTGGATCTGCATTCCTTGCGAGACCTTTGAGTACCTGGTGGACGAATTCACCTGCAGGGACTGTGGCCCAGGACGGTGGCCCAGCCTGGACCTGGCCAGCTGCTACGACCTCCCGGAAGATTACATCAAGTGGGAAGATGCCTGGTCCATCGGGCCGGTCTCCATCGCCTGCTTGGGCTTCATTTCTACTTTCCTAGTGGTGGGAGTTTTCATCAAGCACAACAACACGCCGTTGGTCAAGGCCTCCAGCCGCGAGTTGTGCTACATTCTCCTTTTCGGGGTCTTCCTCTCCTACAGCATGACCTTCTTCTTCATCGCCAAGCCTTCTCCGGCCATCTGCACCTTGCGGCGTTTGGGCCTGGGGACGTCCTTCGCCGTTTGCTACTCGGCCCTCCTGACCAAAACGAACTGCATCGCCAGGATATTTAACGGGGTGAAGAATGGGGCGCAGAGGCCGAAGTTCATCAGCCCCCGCTCTCAAGTCCTCATCTGCCTGAGCCTGGTCATGGTGCAGATCGTGCTGGTGTCCGTGTGGCTGATTTTGGAAGCTCCGGGCACTCGCCGATACACCCTTCCGGAAAAGAGGCAGACGGTCATCTTGAAATGCAACGTCAAGGACGCCAGCATGCTCATCTCTTTAACCTACGACGTGATCCTGGTCCTCCTATGCACTGTCTACGCCTTCAAGACAAGGAAGTGCCCGGAGAATTTTAACGAAGCCAAATTTATCGGATTCACCATGTACACCACCTGCATTATCTGGCTGGCATTCCTGCCCATCTTTTACGTGACCTCCAGTGACTACAGGGTAAGGCCTCCGCCGACACTTCNCTGCCAAATTGCAGGCAGCCGGCAGTCAGCAGAAGTAGCCCGCAGTACTGCACTCTAACCACTGCGCCACCTCAGGGAGGAGAAGCTCCAGGTTTAGTTTCTTCTAAAGTCCCAGGTTGAGAAGGTGGAGAAGACCAGTAGGCTTCCTTTCTAGTGGGAGGAGGAAAGGGGTCAACCTTACATTCAGGTTCACCATCATCTTCCTGATGCTTTGGACCCCATAGAGACGCTTGTCTTCAAGCAGCCTTCTTGGGCTCTGATCATCTTTTGAGGCCCTGTTCCTTTCCTCGGGCTTAGTGGTGATGCCTCCATTTACATAATGGCTGCCCTGTGAAGTAAAAGCAGGTGGCCGGGGTAATGAGGTATCATCCTTTAATGATGAGCCACTACAAATTGCTCAGGCACACCGAACCAGAGGCAGGGAGTTAACGAGGAGGCTGAGGGATGATCGATTGTGACAGGAACAACCTTGCAAAGTCACAGCCTCCCATGAAACTCCAAATTGCATCCGCCATCAACCGGGCAGATGCCGACTCGTTCCATTTTTTCACCCAGGGGTCTTGCGTTGTTGCCGGGATCACCTTCCGATGGGAAAGGGCCAAAGGGTCGTCCATCCAAGATCCTTTTTTTCCAAGGTGAAAGTCAAACAGCAACACCTCTCCTTAAAATTTGTTAGGTGTTGCCGAGATTGACAGGACGTTGGGGTGTTCGTTTTTGCCTTGGGGGGGGGGGGGGGGGGCTTGCCAATTTGGGTCGGTGCAAGATCCCAGACTCCCCCGGTAACTATGGCAACTGAAGCTACCAGGAATGCAGAAAAGGGTTTTTAAGAATTCCCTGTCAGGATTATCCAGGGGGCCTTTTGAGAGGATTGGAGAGCTGGATTACGTTTCTGGAAAGGGTACAGAGGGATTTCAGAAAGCGTGTCAGCTGCTATGCAGTTTCTTGGGAATTTGTTTTGTGTTCAGTTCTGGAGAAATGAGGTTATTTGTCTTGTGCCGAGAGAGAGAGGGAGGGAGAGAGAGAGGGAGAGGAGGGGAGAAGAGAGAGGAGGAGAGAGAGGGAGTGAGAGAGGGAGAGGGTGGAAAGAGAGAAGGCCAGACAAGGAATAATGGATGGAAACTGACCAAGGAGAAATTCCACCTGAAAGGAGAAATTTTCTGACAGTGAGAACAATCCCTTTGGAACGAGCTCCACGTGGAGATTCGGACCCTCACCACCCTCCAGGCCTTCCGCAAAGCCCTTAAAACCTGGCTTTTCCGACAGGCCTGGGGCTAATGAGTTTTTTGTCCCCCCCTCGAATGGTATGGTTGTTGNACACACACACACACACACACATATATCATTGAGCCAGCCCCCTGCCAGACATAGCGCTTAAGCCATGAATCGTGGTTTCCCTTTGAGTTTCAGAGGAAAACTCCAATGAAATGCCACTCAGCCTCCTTAAAGCGGGCACAATGGCAACTTTAACAAGGCTATCGATTTCAGTGGAAACCGGCCCTTTCCTCATTTCTGATGGCCTGTTAAGCGCGCTGGACGTTTGTGGTTCCATCCCCTTCACGGACCGCACGAGAAGCCCCTTGTGTTAAGATTCACCTTTAACAGGCCCAGGGGTGGAGTGAAGCGGCTGGCTTTTCATTTCCTTTGTAATTAGAATTTGATTGCCGGTATAAATTAGCCCGCAACGCTGGCTGCTTTGTGTGCAACCTATTTCCCAGCGCAAATAACTTCAAATTAAATGACTCTTATCAACCCCCAGGCATCGGTGCTTAAAATTTCAGAGGGGGGACTTGGGAATTAGGAATCAAACCGGACACATTTCTTTCTCAAAGCAACAGTTGCATCGTGATTATTCTTTCTCTTCTTTAACCATAACCCCACGCTCCAAATATCAGCAAACGAACAAAAAAACCTCCAAATTTTGTGGAAATCAACGGATGCAGTGTTTGGTACAGAATAAATTCTCCAAAATGTATTTATGTGAAATACGTGACATGGTGTTGCAATTTACGAACACGCCCAACACAATCAACGGATTAAAATGTGGGTCAGGAAATGTTGGGAATTCAAGAGGCCCAGATCATCTCAGTCTCATAAACCCTTCCAAAGTTGGGTGTGACCTAATTTACGGACAACACCCATAAATTCCGGGCCAACGGACAGATCTGCGCTGATGGGGGGGGGCTTTGCAGAGTGTGGGGGTCCAAACACTCACGAGGACGGCCGTGATTGTCCAGTTGAAGCTCTGCCCCCTTTTACAAGGACTTCCACTGTGTATTTGTGACTGACCTCTTGGCTTCTTTCGAGCCCCCCCCTGGAATGTCCATAGGAGCCCCATCTCATTTTATTCAAAGGGGGGGGCGTGAAAATTCACACGCGAGGCTCTGAGTGCATCTCCCATTTTAATAGACGGGGGAGGAGGAGACTCCAAATCGACTAGGAAGAATCTGAGCGGGGTTGCTGATCCCTTCTTCTTTCCATCCCAAAAGGATCCCAAACGCAGATTTCTACCTGGAGAAATTATCAGGGAAACATAGCACCAGCCTTTAGACTTATATATCGCTTTACAGGGCTTTATAGCCCAGTACATGGCATACAAGTCTAAACATGGTGGCTCAGGGGCTAAGATGCTAAGCTTGTCAATCAGAAAGGTCGGCAGTTGGGCAGTTTAAATCCCTAGCGCCACGTAACGGAGTGAGCTCCCGTGACTTGTCCCAGCTTCTGCCAACCGAGCAGTTCAAAAGCAGGTAAAAAATGCAAGTAGAAAAATAGGGACCACCTTTGGTGGGAAGGGAACAGCGTTTCCGTGCGCCTTTGCCGTTTGTCATGACAGCCACATGACCATGGAGACGTCTTTGGACAGTGCTGGCTCTTCGGCTTTGAAACGGAGATAAGCAACGCCCCCTAGAGTCGGGAACAACAAGTAAATATGTGCGAGGGGAACCTTTTACCTTATAGCCCTCCCTAAGCGGTTTAC